CTTTTTCAGGGTTAATACATACAAACTGTTTGATATCGAAGTATATGTTATAAGTTTATAACATTGTTGTAAAAGTTTAGATAAACGACCTTTACACTCTAGATGTAAATATATATATTAATACCAACGTTTCGCTTTTAAAGCTTTTTCAGGGTTAATACATACAAACTGTTTGATATCGAAGTATATGTTATAAGTTTATAACATTGTTGTAAAAGTTTAGATAAACGACCTTTACACTCTAGATGTAAATATATATATTAATACCAACGTTTCGCTTTTAAAGCTTTTTCAGGGTTAATACATACAAACTGTTTGATATTGAAGTGTGCATTATAAGTTTATAACGCTAAAATTCGGGATTTGGTTTCTTTGGTGGGCACAGTAGATTATCCATTTTACAGTTTTGCGCTTAACAACAAACAAACAAACAATTCAATTGAAGAGTTCCGTATACGATATTTTATGGTTGAGGCACACTAATTTATTAAATAAGATGTTTTGTTTGTTTGTTTGTAATTATGCACAAAGCTACACAATGGGCTATCTGTGCTCTGCCCACCACGGGTATCGAAACCCGGTTTCTAGCGTTGTAAGTCGGCAGACATGCCGCTGTGCTACTGGGGGGCATAATATTTTTCTAATTTACAGTTCGTGTAAGTTTGTGTTTGTTCAACGATCGTGTGATGCAAGTGTATTCGATGTTCTAAACGATAACATGCATGTGGCATTAAAAATGCTTGATTTTTACAATACAATAGTGGTGCATGTCATTTTGTTGTGTTACACCTATCATTGAATCAAATACTTCAGTAAGAAATAATCTGCACTTAATTTCTAAATAAAATAGACATAAAATCCTAGAATCAGTTTTTCATAATAAAATCGTTATAACGACCAGTCCGAACGAGATCGTCATATGCTACAATAACTTCAGAAGGAATAGTCTGATATATTTGAAATCCGATTCGAGGATACACCTGTATTCTCTGTAAAACCCCTAGCATCGCTGCTAATAATTCTCTCACACTACAAACATCACGGATCGGATACAAACGGAAAGGAATCGATGGTGACGTCACTGTTACACGTAGTAGTGCCGCATTTCCAGGCCATTGTTTCATGAAGGTGGCGTATGTTCGACGTTCCATATAAGGAGTTTGAACAAGAATAATGCTCGATGGCTTTAGGTTGTATTTCTTCATAATTTTGTAAGAAAACTTAATGTTTTCCCCAGTATTTGTAGCTTGATTTTCCACAATAATTCTATTTTCTGGCACCCCGATGTCTAGTGCCACATCGCGGAAAACATGTGCTTCCGGTCGTTTCCACTTTCCTGAAATAAAATTTTTAACTTTTACTTCAAATATACACTTAAAATAACTCACACATACAATTGTTGTTCTTTTTATTTTGTTTTGTGATACACCAGAGTCGATAACAGTTTATATTTAGTTCTGGACTGTTAGCCTTCGTTTTTTTCAGCTAACCCTATCATTCTTACTTAACTAGGCGTTTACCCTTACTTACAGTGAGCACGAACAACATACACATAACTTTTCTATAATTATCTGTCTTCCGTTAAGCGTACTAGAGGCAATATAAGTATTAGAACGTTCTTATCAGGTGATGCTGTTTCATAAACTTTTGAAATGCTGTTTACTAGGTTTGAAACTAAAGAATTATAGATTTACTATATTTCATCAACTACTGGCATCCCACAGTCACTAAGGTGATGGTCAACAGCTAATACTTTAATCTTACTAAAAAACTGCAGAAATATGTTCATTACTCCTACAAGATACAAGTTTTTGAGGGACTGCTTGGCCGGGTGTAGCCTAATGGTTTGTACGATGGATTGCGGATCGAGAGGTTCAAGGTTTGAGCTACAATATGCCGTTTACACGCTCCACACTTTCAGCTCTGTAGGCGCAGCCGCGTTACAACTGTGACAGTCAATCCTATAATTCAGTTAAGTACAGTTGCATACTATGCGGCGGATTGCCTTCTATTTTCAATAATTCTAAACTAGGAATAGCTATACCTGAACCTTAGAGGTATTTTATCTGGTCCTTTAGCACATGTGTCGCATTAAGCGCTATTCAAGCTGAAAACCAAAGAATCTAGTATCGTCAGAAGGAACAATTATAATTTAAAAAAAAAAGTAAAGAAAGTATTCATTCATTTTCGTGTCAATCAAAATAAATATCTTATAAGGCTGGTGATCTTAAATATGACCCGATATTGTAAGAATCAACTCATCCAACACTGACTCTAGGTTAAAAGGATATGTATATATAGTTAGATCCAGCCTTTGGGGTGGACGACGTGTGCCCCCGCACAGGGCGCCTATCCCAAGGGGCGTCAAAATCAATATTGCAATTATCGATTTTTAAGGGGGCAAGGGCGCCGGACACAAGTTGGCACAGGCCACAATTTTGCCTATGACCCGGCTCTGTATATAGTTCATTGATTTTGTTTGTTTGTTTGTTTATAATTACGCACAAAGCTACACAATGGGCATCTGTGCTCTGCTCACCACGAGTATCGAAACCCGGTTTCTAGCGTTGTAAGTCAGCAGACATACCGCTGTTCCACTGGGGGGGGGGGGGCATAGTTCATTGAACCGATAGTAGAAATTTAATTTAATTATTTCGTTGTTATTGATATACATCTTAGTGTAACTTGTGATTTTGCTAATAACAATCCATGGAGAATATTTCAAAATTAAATTACAATAACATTTTAATTAACCTGAGGTTTTGGAAATGATGTTATTTTCTACTGTAAGCAGTATACATATCGTGTTTTCGTATTAACTATTTTTTAAATTCTTTTTTCCTTCTTTACTGACGTACTTTTTTGTAACTATAAAAAAAACAACGCCTTTAAGTATAATATGTATTTTTACGTTTATTTTGTACACATTTCAGGTTTAATCATCAAAAACACGAATAATTAATTATTCTATACTTTTATCTCAAGTTGTTACAAACAACATACCTTTCGTCATGTTACCTGCCTTTCCGGATATAACAAGCCAGTCTCCGTAACCAAGGAGATATAGTTGAGCCGCATGTTCAGCTGTTCGAATGTCATTGTTGCCTAGCAACATGATCACATCACTCTGCAATAAACAAACTTTGATTTAAAATAGATTATACATTAGGTGAATAATAATGACAAAATTAGAGACCAGAAGAATACACGCTCATGGGTTAAAAGGATCTATTGGATATGTATATATCTTTATTTTAGGAGCGACTTAGACAGTTTTGTTTGTTCGCTGAATTTCACACAAATCTACTCGAAGGCTATCTTCGCAAGCCGTCCCTAATTTTGGAGTGACAAATTAGAAAGAAGGTAACTACTCAACACCACCTACCGCTAACTTTTGGGCTATTCTTTATCAAGGAATAGTGAAACTGAACGTCACATTATAACACCTCCACGACAGAAAGGGCGAGCATCTTCGAGGACGGGATTCAAACCCGCGAAGTCGAGTGCCCTAAGCACCAATTTAGGCAGACTAAACTACTGGATTCAAAGTATTTTGACAAGTATCTGCCTGGTGTATAGACGTAAAAAAAAAAAATTCAGTATGTACTGAGGTTTTCAAGACCTAAACATTTTCTATTCTTCATACCATGCAGATGCAATTCATAAAGAAGAAAAACCAAACATTTATCCTTTACAAAACATTATCAACATTCTTTGAGATAAAACTGAAGGATTTTTTTTAGAATAAGTCCTATATGTGCCTAAAGTAAAAAATGCATGTTCTTCATTTAACAGTCAATGTACAATAACGGACGTTAAACTAATCATCAAGCCAAAGCCAGTATCTTCCACTGAACGTAAAAATGAAATAAAAATACTTTGGGGCAATTTTTCGAAAATATTAAATGACATACGAAACTTTATACAATCATAGTGACTTAACATTTTTATAAATCTCAAAAATGACGATCATTTGACCTGAACTTTAAGATACTGTTACGACAGCGGAAGTCACGTGACGCTGGTAACACGTCATGAGATTCTCGAAGGATCGTGACTTTTCCTGGCAGCTCTGGTATTTTCCAGGCGTCCTCTATTTTAGTATATAAGCCCGGCAAATAATTGCAGATATATAGATATAGCGACAGATAATTGAGTCAAGCGAGCGGTAGTGACCGTAAGTAAAGTGCGTGAATCGTTGTGAATTATAGCGTATGTGTATTGCAAAGTTGTATTGAGAAAGAATAAACTAGTTTTAATTAAGAAAGGACTTGTATCGCTGAAGTTTCTCGGAAAGAATTTCTACGGGAATTTAACAAACGAACAGAGACGTAACAATACTAATTTGCAGGTTGAGTTGTCATCGTGAAAATTTGTACAATGAAGTTTTCATTTTAGCCCTTATAACTGATTGGTTCCCCAGTGGCACAGCGGTATGTCTGTGGACTTACAACGCTAGAAACCGGGTTTCGATGCCCGTGGTGGGCAGAGTACAGATTATCCAATGTGTAGCTTAGTGCTAAATTACAAACAAACACGGACTGATAGATCCTTTTTCAATATTTCAGACTCTTAACATGCTATAAAATTATTAACTAAATAATTCCGTGAGCTTTTCCCACATTTACTGTTATTATATTTATCTTACAAACTCTTAACCCCAAATACAAAAACATTAGAAATACGAGTTTATTGGGTCGAAATATTTGAACAGATAGCACGTAGTCAGATATAAATGAAACAGACGTTTTTATTGCCATTTTCCTTTGTTATTTGTTAAAACTTAACAAATCTTAAAACGACTTGAGCTTTTTTTATATACAAAAACTTCCAGATATAAAGTTTAAATTTTACAAAAAACGTCTTGTAATGTAGCTCTTTTAACAGTGAATGTCTTTTACACCGTTTATTTGTTGTTGAGGTGAGTACGTTATGCCAATGTTGTTAAATGGCCACCGTTAAAATCGTGACATGGCATGGTGGAGAGAGGGCACTCAACTCACAACCTGTGGGTCGCGGATTCGAATTCCACCTGCACACTTTCAGCTACGGGGGGTGTTATAATGTGACAATCATTACCATTATTCGTTGGTATAGTGTAGCCCAAGAGACGGCGGTGGGTGGTGCTAACTAGCTGCCTTCCCTCTAGTCTATCACTTCTAAATTATGGGCAACTAGTGCGGATAGCCCTCGAATAGATTTGAGCAAAATGTTGAAAATACAAACAAAATCCTGACGTCACAGAAGCGACTAAGTTTGGAAAATAACTGCAGTGGATTTGTACTTGTTAATTCATATCTTAACAGCTGGTTAGTTAATACCTAATAGGATATTTCTTCTCATTTGGCTTAGCTTAAAATAGAATTGTAGCTTCTAAAAACTAAGCTATAATTTTTACCTGTTAATCTTTTTTACATTACAGAGGCCTATTTTAAGGAGGACTTAATTTCGTCCTTTCATGATATTGTTACGTCTCTGTTCGTTTGTCAATTTTCAGTAGAAATTCTTTCCGAGAAACTTCAGCAATACAAGTCCTTTTTTAAATAAAACTAGTTTATTCTTTCTAGATACAACTTTGCAATACACTTAATTTCCACAGTCACTTTAATTTAAACACACGCTAGAATTCACAACGATTCACGCACTTTACTTACGGCTTGACTCGATTATTTTTCTCCCCCGTCACTTCTTGCCGGTCATATATATACAAAATAGAGGGCGTCTGGCAAACACTCGAGCCTTCACGAACGTTCTAGATACTCATTACGTATTACCAGCGTCACGTCAATTCCGCTGTCGTAACAATATTCAAAAGAGACAGCCGGTTCATGTTTTAGGCGTAAATTTCGTTACTAATGGTTTTAGCACGCCATCTGCACATACTATTTCATTTGAATTTCTAAGCATTCTAACTGCGTATAATGTATTAATATCGGCATTGTCTGTCCCAGTGCTTTATTATCTGTATCTGACTTCTATAGTTCTTCAAAAATCATTTGTCTCCTTTTAGGCCTATACATATATAAACAAAATCGAATTCTTACCTTTCTGAGCTCATGATGAAGTAGTAGATAATCCCACAAAGTTTTAGCATGAATCAAGTCTTCTCCAGGCATCTGCTCGACTAATTTAAAGTGATTTGTTGGATTCCCTGGCTTGTTTGTTTCTCCCACACTGGTTTCTTGGAAATTTTGCAGCTTTTTACCGCAGAACATCACTGTTCTTCGAGAATTTCGCGCAGTTATTTTTCTGCAAAGACTTAGGCTATACAGGGAGGTAACGGAAGCCTGAACTACTGATAAAAAAATACTAACCTTTCATTGAAAAACTGCGTTTCCTATTGAACCGAACAAAAATCAAATCCAAATATAACAATTCGAGATATTATCATAAATGAGAAAGCATAACACCATATCGTCTTGGAGACATATTTATATACGCCGCGGTATTTTTGGCACTGAGCCAAACTTCGATCAGCTGATACTACAAGGTATTTGAATGCCTGTATGAGTACACGTTTAAAATGACGTAATGTTTCGAACTCAACCACAAACTATGATGTGATGAAACAGTTTGGTTGCTAAATGAAAACAAAACAAACAAAAAAACAGATGTTGTTATTTCCTTTGTTTCGTAATAACAAAGAAATTTGATCTTTCCTGAAAGATATTTTGTCACGTATTGTAAAAATATTCTTATACTATTAATCAAGATCACGTTTATTTAAAAAGAATATGAACAATGTTTCCGCAACATATGCGTCCATCATTAGGTACAGGATTCCAAATGAATATCCGGGCCGTCAGCTACATATTAAATTGAATTATGGTTATTCTTGATGTTTATTATGTAGTTGAAATTTTAATTTATTTACTTACATAAATGGGATCCCTTGTGTTGTTGAACATCCACAGGATTAACATTTGATAGTCAATAATGTTTAACTCTTTCACTAGTATAAATCTAAATATATATACATTTGAGTGCATTGCTTGTTTGAATTTATGTACAAAGCTACACAATGGGCTATCTGTGCTCTGCCCACCACGGATATCGAAACACGGTTTCGAGCGTTTTAAGTCCGCAGACATACCGCTGTGCCACTGGGGAGCGCATTGTTTGTTTGAGTATTTTGTACTATCACTAAAACAACTGTTTACATTTCTGTGTGAGTAGTGCAGGGCGTGGACTGTGAATCCCAGGGTCCGTAGATCACGACTTGTTGTCTCAAAATCTCACTCCTGAGTTTGGAGCCGTGGATGCGTTATATGAGTGGCAGTCAAATCACGCTATTCGATCAGAGTAGCCCAAAAGTTGGCGGTAGATACTGTTGATTAGCTGCCTTCCTTCTAACCTATCAGCTCAAAATTATGGACGGCTAGCGCAGAAAGCCCTTGTGTATCTTTGCGCGAATATCCGAAACAAACAATTTGAGCATTTTTTTTCCACAACTTTACTGTTGTACTAACGCGTCAATAAAATGAGTGACTTACGAACTATCATTTTGATCTCTGCAGTCGCTAAATATAAATAAACTGTGTAAAAACGTATATTGCATAGTATTAATGTTCTATATTGAATTTTACAATTATCCAAACTGCAGACATTAGAGTAAGGCATAACCTAATGGTTAGCATGCCAGCTGCATATTAAAAACAGAAAGTCCATAAATCGAGCCGCAATATGTCGCTGAACACACTTTGATTTTTTCTTTTTTTGCTGAGTGTGTGAGAGGGGGGTACAACCGCATACACATACTGACTTATTATCTTCTCTCTGATCAGCCGTTCAAAATTAGGGATGGCTGTGCCTGAACCTGGCTCTTATGCCATATGTCGCATTAGTTTTGTTCAAGTTAAAAACAACACACGCACGCTTTTTTCCTGCTCATTTTTTCACACAAGGAATGTTTAAATAGTTTCTATTCTCTATTTTATTAATACTGTATTTATTAGGAGACAAAACTCAAAGCACAAATACGTGTAGGTGAAGCTTAGGGTGGAAAAAAAAATCTGTTACCGCGTAAAGACTGAAACATGACATATAGTTAGTTAGGGATACAACGGCGCTGGTCAGGTGTGAATGTGTTTTGTGATAGCAAAGCTGCATCGGATTATCTACTGTGTTCATCGAGGGAAATCGAACCCTTGAAGATTTACCAGCGTCCCACCGGGGGACATGACTGGTCATATTCGTGGAGTACAGACGCGTATCAGAGAGCTGCATCCTTCAGCCAGATACGTCTACTGCCTCAGCCACAACCTGAACATAGCCATGTCCCATCCGAAATATGTACAACACAGTCGACCAGCTGTCGTACTTCATCACAACAACGTCTCCAGATGTACATCACCAATGCTACCGTCACAGATGCCCCATTTTCATATCACAGTCAAGCTAAGAAAGAATACAATCACTTACTTGTAAGTAAAATACACATAAAGTCCTGTAAAACTAGTCGTCACTCTGAATGTGGGGTGGGTGGTAACCAGCAAATGTTCAGTTTGTTTGTTTTGAATTTCGCGCAACGCTACACGACGGCTATATTTAGCATTGTAGGACTAGAGAAAAGGCAGCTAGTCATCACCACCCACCGCCAAATCTTGGGTTA